TCACCTGTGCATGGTGAGTGTGCATCTGTCACCTGTGCATGGTGAGTATGCATGTCACCTGGGCATAGTGAGTGTGTATCTGTCACCTGGGCACAGTGCATGTGCATTTGACTCCTAGTGCCATCAGCTCTTGCAGTGTAGCACTAAGCAGGAGGGATTTACTTCTACACGTAGGCTTCCTTTCTTTATTTCAGCTGGGTATTTTAAAAAGTTAATTATGAATACCACAAATATTCCTATTCCCTGGGGAGAAGCTTTATGTGGACTTAGGAATCGGGGAAATTTTCTGTAAATGCTTGGTTGCCACAGAGAGAACAAGAACATTTCCTGCTACCACACAGGAGCAGCCTCTGTCTCCTTGTAGAGAACACTATCAGTGGTGCTGAAATACACCTTGTAACTAGCTTAAAACACTACTACTGAACTCCTAGAGGGTTTCCTCTGACCAGAAAGTCACCCATGAAATGTTTTTCACAAGAAATTCTTTAATAATAAGATGTTACTATTTCTAAATTTCACTACAACTTTTTACTGAAGGATTTCTCTCTTCCTGTTTCTGGCTCACACTTTTTAATAGCTAAATAGTCTGTCTTTGTTTTACACTCCTTGTTACTCAGTCCCTAAGCTGTCCTTAAAGACCGATGAATTAAAACTGGTTCATCCAGGGCATTTTTACAGCTAAGCTTTGGAAAACCAGAGACCTCAGTGGAGTGTTTTAGAAATCCATATGAAAACCAGAAACAGTGGTCTATTCTAAGAGGAATACATATACAGCATTATAACTGTCGAATATGCAGAACCTTACTCCAGAGTTCACGTACAAACCAAAAGGAGCATACGTGTATTATGTTACTTCATGCAAAAGAAAGTAGAAACCTGGAAAGGACGGGAAAGGGAGAGCTGATACTCAAACCAGGACTGGCTGGTCTTGCTCCTGTATTGTTCTGCCTGCTACATATACAACGTCACATGGGCGTACACGTCACATGGGCGTACACGGTGCCTTACCTGCTCAATACAGTCTTTGGGTAATGGAGGTGAAGGAAATGAGGCAAAAACCAGGACACCAATATAGAGATAAGTCAATGTCACCAGCATATAAGCAATGCATAGGTCTCTCACCTGTATGTAAACACAGAATAAAATGCTCACTCAATACAAAGAAGTCAAGGTAAGTCTACTTAAGCAAGGATGACAGATAAATCCAAATTTATCTTTCTATTTTGTATGTGTTTGTATATGTTCTAATTTTCACAAAATGCAGTAACACACACGCACATACACACGCACACGCACACATACACACACACAAATCTGATTAAATTATTCCGTCTAATTTTTATTTTTTAAAACTTGTCTGGAGTATGTAGGCTAAACTACTTGTTAGAAGACTTGGGAAGCTAATATAAACTGTGGTTTTAACATGACTGAAATTCTAATTTAATTTCAAAAGGTAACATTCGTCAAATTAAAAAAAATAAGTAAAATAACAAAAGTATAAGTAAAAGAAAGTATAATCCACTTTTGGTTTGACCTGCAAATTTTTAAAAATTCTTTCTTTAGCAAATTAGCTTTTATCATTAAAGTATGCGTAGGCCATGGGAGTAGAACATATTAAAGGATATTGAATACAGAAGGAACACTAGTTAAAGAGCAGACAAGTGAGCACTAAGGACCAGCTTTATAAACTTAAATGTGAAACAAAAGGGCATTCTAAAAGCAGCTGTTCAAATAGCTGTCCAAAGCTATTACCGGAATTAGCAAACAAACAGACTATTAAACCAAGCAGGCTGCTTTCTTCTACTGCTGTTCTCATCCTCCCAGTCCATGCAAAATAAAAAGCTCCGAGACTGAAGGCAGCCAGCTGCTGGATCCAAGCAAAGCAGATTCCACAGCTTGCAAATGGTCTCCACCACTTAAGTTACAGCAAACAATTCAACACAAAAGGAACTGTAGCAACAGGCCCGATCATTTTAGATAGAAATAACTCAAAAGCTAGGAAAACAGATTAGAAAAAGAAATCTAGGTGACTTTTAAGTTTGGTGGCATGGCAAGGATGTCTGACACTTGGAACTGGGGGACATTTTGGATTTTTCTGGATGAGTCTTAGAATGGGCTGAAGCAGCAGCAGTGGTTTATAAACTTGAGATTCAAAAATCTGGTTGAGAAACAACAACCTGGGAGAAACCTTAAGGTCAGTTCTAAACTGACAATAAACTGACAAGTTCTCCCTATCAGGAAAAAGCCTTCAGAGCTAGAGGCTTATGCAAATTGGTCCCAGGTCTCTCAAACCTCAGTGGGAGCTTACTATTCAGGAGAGGGCTTCCAAGTCCTTCATTCTTAGTTCAAGAAGCTCTAGTGCCCAGCTCTGTCTAGAATCCAGTTTCCCCTGGGGCTGTGTCCCACTCTTATGTGGGATGAGCAAGAGCAAATCAAGGAATCCCATTTTCACATCAGAAAGTAGCTGGCTTCAATGAAAACATTTCAAGGCATTCCAGTCTCCACCTACTCAACTGGCTCAAGAATCAAGACAGCCCCCTTTTAAAAAAAGATGTATTATTTTTATGTATATGTGTGTTTGTTTGTAGGCGCCTGTGAGTGCTGGCACCCCAGGATCCCCCTGAGCTTCTACAGTGGTTATGGGTACCTAATGTGGGTGCTAGGAATTGAACTCAAGTCCTCTAAGAAGCAGTACAAGCTAAACCAGCTGTCTAGTCCAATATAGCCTCTTTAAGAAAAAAAAAATCTTGAGAATCTGGGGAGATGGCTCAGTAGTCAAAGTGCTCATTACATAAGCTTGAAACCCAGAGTTCAGATCTCCATAATCCCATGTCAACGGCAATCCAAAGAGTAAAAATGATTGGCAAGGCTAGCCACGTCTGTGCGCTCTGAGTTTGACAGAGATTCTGTAAGTGCAATCAAGGGTGATTCCCAACTTCAATCTTGGGCTCCTCCATGTGCCATACATATGCAAAACACGCACGCATGCACGCGCGCATGTATGTAGGTACTGGAACAAACAATAGACAAATAGACAAACCCTCGAAAGGCAGACTCAGCTGTGTCAGAGAGAGGAGGGAAGGATTTCACTGATAATCTTAATTTACATACCACCTGAATCATGTTCATTCTTCCAACTTCTGTAAAACAAGTACCTTAGTGAAACCCTGGGAACCGAGAAGGGTAATTCTAGGGCTATGGTGCCAGTGCTTCCTAACAACAGTGTTCCTTCCACGGCTCTCTTCGCAGGGCACTGGCCATACGGGGCCATACTTGTTCTAATTGCCATTAGCTTTCATTATAAAAACAATCCACTTAAAAGAGTTATTACTATTATTTTTAATTTATGCACGTGCCTGTGCCTGTATGTCAGTATATATGTATAGGAGTGCATGTGTCCCCAGAGGCAAAAAGACAGTGTTAGATTCTTTGGAGCTTGAGTTACAAGAAGCTGTGAGCTGCCCAATGTGGGTGCTGGGAACTGAACTTGGGTTCTCTGCAAAAATAGCTCACACACTTAAAGGCTGAGTCATTGCTTTAGTTCCCCATATAATCATTTTTTTTTGAAAAAAGCTCTCAAGTGGAAAGATGTCCCTTGACATTAAAAAATAGCCAAACCTAATAGTTCTTTTATTAAAGTTTTCTCTCCAAATAGATGCATACCACTGGAATATGAGACCCTGTCTTTTTTTTTATATTCTACTTCCAATTCCCAGGGCAATACTGGACATAGCAGGAACCTGTAGGAGAAAATGCAGGCATGAGCTGCCAGCCAGCCGTTCTGGCATACTAAGCTTCTAACAGCATAGCACACCATGCACCAGAAGTCAGAAGAGTAAATTCTGAAGTAGTCTGAGTAGCTGGTAGCTGGCCTGTGACTGAGTCTGCACTCTCTATGTCTCCTTTATTGTGTGTCTTCCCTATAAACACACTGGTGGTATGAGCGTTCACTGTCCAGATGTGCTAACAGTCACGGTCGATAGACTTCTACTGTAGAAGTGGCTGCTCACATGCAATAAAGCAGATGCCATTCCTTGCAGCTGTTTCTAGAATGGTTCTTCTCCATGCCCTTTACCACCCACAGGCATTGTGGTCTTGCTGGGGGATGTCCTGGTACTGACGGTAGGAATGAAATATAGATAAGAATATATCTACCAGCATCTACACTAAGCTCCCATAGGCCATAAAACCTTATAACACAGTTGCAGCCCATTTCTTTACAGATGAGTTAAACTAAGCACAGAAGTCACAAGAACTTGCTCATCATTATATGGTGAATAGTTTGGTGAAGCCAATATTCTAATCTCCAAACAAGGTCTTTCTGGTACCCAACTGGGTGCACTTAGTTACTATGAAGAATTTACTAGTCTCCAGGTATTTAAGCCATATTTAATAATTAAAAAGGGAGGCAAAAAGGAGTAAAAAAGAATATAACAGGAAAGCATCATTAGAGATATAAGAAAAATGCCAAGGCCTGTGAGGACAGCCCTGTTTCATGTACTCAGCACACATTAAGAGCGACTCAGAAGTTGTGTGTCTGTTTTCACGAGGAAATACTGATGAGCAGAAGTGATGCTTTCATTATAAAATAGCTGAGGCTCAGCATAATTGAGGAGCCATGCTGCCTATGAATAGCATGCACGTATTGGGGGCTTAGTATTCTTTGAAACCCACGTCATTTCTGTACTAGGCCTAAAATACAGATTGCTAAACCCCATCTCATGGGAGAGGAGGGAGAGGTATTTTCTGGCAAACTGGGAACACTGAGGTCATAGATCCTATCCATAACACCAACAACTGGGAGGCAGAGAAAGGAGAGTCAGGGGTTCAGTCATCTTCAGCTGCACAGTGAGTTTGAGGGCACCCTGAGCTACACTGAGACACTGTCTTAGAGAGGAGGGGAGGGAAAGAAGGAGGGAGGGAGGGAGGGAGGGAGGGAGGGAGGATGGAGAGGCTCCAAGCAAACAGTATGTTTAAAAAGAGACAGAGGTGGTGATATTAGACTGTCAAGGGGCCTGCACAGTAAGGTACCCCCTCTCTGCTTCGTATTTAAGGAATGAATGGAAGACCAAAGACCTATAGGCAGGTAGAATGTCAACTCCAGAAGAGTAGTAGATCAAAAGCAAATCTGGGAACACTTTTGTTTGTCAAACATTGTTTGTTCCATGTACTGTTCATAGCAAAAATACTATCCTGTAAAGCACTACAAAAAATGACAATCACACAAATCTACCCCGAACTTTTATATAAAAACTTTTGATATGTAAGCCGAGTATCTACAGACTCAGACAAGAAAAAAAAGAATAGCAAGTGAGATAGAGGTATCTCAAATCGCTTTAAAGACAAAATCTGGACAACAGCCAAGCTAATCAGAAACTCTGCACAAGGTCTGACTCAACAACAGCTCTCAGGAGGGGAATCCATAGCCACATAGACTATGTATTTTGAGGAGAAGCTTATTTTCAACCCTAATGTCTTCCTGATCAAGTATGCTTTAAGGAATAGAATGATATACAGTTGAGAAACACATTACAAAGTTACATTTAGTGACAAAAGTCAGCAAGGGAAGTTAAACTTGGAAAGTCAGGCCACAGTGCTTGGGTGGCTGCTGAGGGCTATATTACGCTTCCTAAGTGCCAGAGGGAGGGGTCAGGTCCAGCTGTGGAGACACTGCTGTGGAGACACTGGAGGGAATGGCCTGGCTTTCTACTCTCAAATGCTTTTATGACTCTCCTGTTTTCTGACTTTCATCCCAAGGAAATCTTGTATCACACTATTAAATGGACATTTTTTTAGTCAAATTATTTAGGAAAAGATCCTAAAAAGTATAATCTTAAAGCTCTTAAAAGTACAGTCAAGCAAGTCAATAGAGTGTCCACTTAGCTTGATTTATGCCAATATAAAAGCCAGTTTTGGATATATTTGCATACAGTTAGAGTGGCCAGAAGGCAATGGCACATAGTACTTCATAAATGTTCATTTTCTGAGTAGTAATTAACATTTTAAGAAGTTCAGATGAGCCGGGCGGTGGTGGCGCACGCCTTTAATCCCAGCACTTGGGAGGCAGAGACAGGTGGATTTCTGAGTTCGAGGCCAGCCTGGTTTACAGAGTGAGTTCCAAGACAGCCAGGGCTACACAGAGAAACCCTGTCTCGAAAAACAAAACAAAAACAAACAAAGAAGTTCAGATGAAGTACAGTGCTTTATACAAAAAAAGTTAAACTAGAGCCAGAGGATGGCTCAGCAGGTAAAGACCTTTGTCACACCTCAGGACCTGAGTTCAGTCCCCAAGACCCATGTGACAGAAGGAACAAACTGATTCCTCAAAGCTGTTCTCTGATTTCTATATGTACATAGAACACTGTACACACAAAATAAGGTTGTAAAAAAACTTAAAACATTTTTTAACCTTTTTTTTTTTTTTTTGGTTTTTCGAGACAGGGTTTCTCTGTATAGCCCGGGCGGTCCTGGAACTCACTCTGTAGACCAGGCTGGCCTCGAACTCAGAAATCCGCCTGCCTCTGCCTCCCGAGTGCTGGGATTAAAGGCGTGCGCCACCACCGCCCGGCCATTTTTTAACCTTTTAAAGTTAGACCACCACTTCATACTATAGTTTTAATGAAGACAGTGAAAAGGAAACAAATCCATTTAAACACCGGCATTTAAGTCACCTAATATACTATTTTACAGAGCCCTCTCTGACCAACTCAGCAGCAGAAGAAGCCATGCATCCAGCACTCCAGTTTGAGCAGGTGTGCTCCCACTGACCTCCACCTGCAGCCCCTGGTCTGTGCGCACGTGCCGAGCAGACAGAGACAAACAGAGACCTCCTCAGCCCTGGGGACAGTGAACCAAGGCACCCATATTTCTCTCCAGTTCTCAGCTTCCCACGAAGAGGCATGTACCCTTCCAAACAAACAGGCCCAACCTTCTAGAAAAGCAATTCTACTTGAGACTTTGGGGAGCAAAAGTTAAGTACTGACAGTCTGCATCTGGCAGTGCAGCATACAAGTTACTGTGTGGCCAGATTCTGTGAACATCCATCACAGTGACAGGAATTATGATGGTTGTATAATCCTTGACAATTTTTGTTAGAACATTAAATTTTTAGTATTTGCTACAAAACGGAAAAAGATAAAAGAAATATTAGCATGTAATTTAAAATACTGTGACATAGGGCTTGGGGCTGGAGCTAATCAGTACAGCACTTTCCCACATGCACAGGACCCTAGGCTAAATACCCAGCAGTGCAAAAAAATGAATAAACAAATACATGAATTAATCAGAAGCATTGAACATTAGACTGGTTTGTTTTTTAAAACTTAAGAGTAGTTTGAACTAAACTTCCTTCACCCCGACCTGGTTTTTAAGGAGAATGTGACTGTCACTAATCACACCGCACACTTGTTACTCACTCAGTGGCTTGTGAACTGAGGGTAGTACACATTATTCTATTCAACTAAAATCTGAACCACATTGGGACTCAGGTAATCTGATCCAGCAATTAAATGTGTGCACACAGGGAACCATGCAATTCGAGAATTGCCTGCAGCTTAACTCCTTAGTAATCCTAGCATTCAGGAAGCAGATCCCTGTGAGTTCCGAGACAGCCTGGTCTGTACAGCAAGTTCCAGGCCAGCCACGACAGTACAATAATGCCTTGTCTACAACAACAACAACAACAACAACATTCATAAAAAACAAAAAAAAAAAAAACCCCAAAATGACTATACAAGCAAATTACTTTACAGTTTTTGAAAACCTTGATTTTACGTAGCTCAGGCTGGCCTTACACTCACTATGTAGTGATGGATGACCTTGAACTCCTGATTTTCCTGTTTATTAGCACTTGGAAGTAGAGGAAGGTTAGTCTTTTGATTTTAGAATTTTATTTATTTATTTATTTATTTATTTATTTATTTATTTTGTTTTTTCGAGACAGGGTTTCTCTGTGTAGCCCTGGATGTCCTGGAACTCACTCTGTAGACCAGGCTGGCCTCGAACTCAGAAATCCGCCTGCCTCTGCCTCCCAAGTGCTGGGATTAAAGGCATGCACCACCACTGCCTGGCAGAATTTTATTTTTAATGTACATATTTATAACTGTACATATTCCCCTAAATGTAGCTTAGGTACAATTCCATAGGTTTTAGTATTCTGAATTTTCATTTTTCAGTAACCTTCAAGCATTTTTAATTTTTTCTTGTGACTTCTTCTTTGACTCGCTGGTTATATAGGAAAATGTTAGTCAACTTTCATATATTTGTAAATTCCCAAATGTCAGTTATTAGTTTGTACGTTTACTTTCTTATGGCTAGAAAACATATTTGGCATAATCTTCCTTTGCTTTTATTGACATTTGTTTTGTGACCTAGCATGTACCCTATGGCTGGTATTTCTGAGTATTTGAAAGGAATATACATTCTGCTACTGAGACTAAATGTCAATTAGATCAAGTAAGTTTATGGTATTTTTCATGCTTTCCATACTTGTAATTTTTTGTCTCTTTGTTCTACCAGCTATTCAGGAGGAGGGGAGAAAACTCCAATTATAATTGTGTACTAGTTTACTTAGTTTGTTGTTACTTCATTTATCTTAGCTTTTAATTACATATTATTAATGTGGTTCGTGTGTGTGTGTGTGTGTGTGTGTGTGTATCTGTGTGTGTAGGTCAGAAGACATCTTTCCAGGGTCCGTTCTCTCTCTTACTGCATGGCTCTCAGTCAGGACTGAGCTCAGGCTGACAGACTTTGCAGTAAGTGCTTTTACCTGCTCTGCCACATTGTAGGCCCACTCCAATCACTGAGTGAATATAGACTCAGTATTATTACATTTTATTTAATCCTTTTTCCTTCCTTCCTTCCTTCCTTCCTTCCTTCCTTCCTTCCTTCCTTCCTTCCTTCCTTGAGAATGACTGTATTTCAATGCATAATTTCTGTATAAACTGATATTAAAGCAAAGTAAATAGAAAACACATAGCATTTCCTCTGCAATGCAGGATGTCTTGTTTACAGACTTGAACACAAACAAACTTATAAGAACTAATAGACTTAACATGGAAAGTGAGAAAAAAAGGAACACAAATGGAGAATATTGTGATCTAACAGTATCAACTAGATAGTACTTCATTTGTAATATTATATTATCAGTAACTAAGAATAAAAATACTGTTAACTAATATTTTTATAATATTAGCAAATGGCCAAATCTAAATCAAACATAGGATGAACTTATTCCTATAGGCCATTTTCTCAAATGTAAATTTTACGTATATCACCATGGTACTTCCAAGCGAATCAGTCCATAAGGATCACAGTATAATCATTCATCTTTGACTGTGGCATTATTATTTGTGCTGCTAGTAACATAGACTTTTTACTTGATTATATTCCAAGGCTATATTTTTATATTAAGTTTTTCAAGGATACCATGTAATTAATTTTATTTTTTAAAACAAATCTGACAATTTTTTATTGTAGTGCTTGGAGCATTTATATTTAGTGTAATTTTCAATATTAGCTTGCCATTTAGTTTCTTTTTCACATCTATTTTTTGTTCTTTTCCTGCCTTTAGTATCTTCAATTTTTTATAATTATTATTGAGGTTTCTGACCTGCTGTCTGCTTTTGCAAATAAGGCTTTTTTGTAACATAGATATTACTCATTTGTTTATCTATTGTTTGTGGCTGTTTTCATACCACAATAGCAGAATTGGGCAGCTGTAACAAGAACATATAGCCTGCAAAGCCTAAAATGCTTACCATCTAAAATTTTCATATGTTTGACCACTGATCTATAATTAAGATGTGGAAACAAATAGCATAATTTTACTCCTAAACATAAAGTGCTTCAAACACGCATTAAAGCCTATGCTTAGGAAATACCGAGGCAGCTCCCGAGTTAGCTACTCACATTATTTTCTTGGTTCTTGTTGTTTTTCAAGAGTGTGATGATACAATTGTGAATAAAGAAGGCCAGAGTAAGCACCCCTGTCAGCTGTGGAAACTGAGCTCTTATCTCTAGGAGAAAAGACAAAAACAAAATGTTAGAATGCTAAGTAGAAAGTGAGTCGTATCAGCCACTAGAATCAGACCCTCTTTAGGAGGATTATTATTATTTGCCCTAGGGAATAAGAATATTCAAGTGTTTATAAGGTCCTTCAAGGTAAGCATTCGATGTGGTCAAAACACTTAGAAAGAAAAGGAGTAAAGGAGAGTGCATTCTGTGGCTTTCTCTTAGTCTCCCATAGCTGAGACCCCACAATTAAGTTTAAATTCAGGGTCTATGAGTCCAAAATCTTTCTCGTTTCTAATACCTGTGCTTCTCAGGAAAGTCCCTCTAGAAGTGGAATCACAGAGAGAAAAAGACTACTCATGGTTCTTGGGTGACAAATCTAAAATGCATTTCTTAAAAATAAAACTGGATAAACTAAGATATAGTTTTACAGTGGGATGCAGTATTTAAAAATTATGCTGTCGAGATTTAATACCAGGACAAATGTCTAGAAGTCAAGCTTGTCAAGAATGATTTGGTTTTGTTTTTTAAAATGCACAAAAACAGCTACAGATTATGTACTCAAGAAAAGAGAGAAAAAGTGTCGACAGAATCGCTGTGGATTTCCTAGGATTTATTTTAAATTAACTGCCTAATTTTCTATGATAAATAGTTATTTAAAAATAATGTTCTATAAGCACTGTTTGGAGGCAGGTAATAAATATGAGAACAATTAGTTAATGTGGAATCAGGCTACAATTTACTTGGCAATCCTGGTAGGTCTAGGCACAGCATGTGGCAAAGTAGAGAACAATCTGCCTCCATTAAGCTTGGTGCAGAGAGCAGAAGTGTAGAAAATGCCCACTGACACTGAGTTAGGAAAGGAAATGAAGCCACTAAGAATCAGTCTCCAGCTCTAAGCACAAGCAGAAGGTAAGGCCAGCACATACAGATTGCTTCCCTTCTTTCTGTCTTACTGTCTCAGCCTCCTGAGGTTCACACTCAGGCTACTGGGATTACTCACCATGCCTGGCTTATTCTGTTTTCTGTCATATTTCCTGTCTGTCACCTTTCAACTATATCTTTTATCCATGGATGAAATTCTTCCTTTGTTAGATTAAAAAAAATGTTTTTAGTAATCTTTTTACAACACCTTTTAATGAACGGAGATCACTTCTAGTTGACAACAGCATTACACACACACACACACACACACACACACACGATTACAAAAGCCCTATTTTTGAAAATGGTGACAAAAATCAGGTGCTGATAAACTAACTTACTAATATGTTTAACAGAGAAATAACTGACAAACTCTTTCGCTGGAACCCAAAGTAAAGCAGCACCACTGGGCAGTAATGGTGCATGCCTTTAATCCTAGCACCTGGGAGGCAGAGGCAGGTGGATTTCTGAGTTCGAGGCCACCATGGTCTACAGAGTGAGTTGCAGGACAGCCAGGGCTATACAGAAAAACCCTGTCTCCAAAAACAAACAAACAAACAAGCAAACAAACAAACAAACACACACAAAGTAAAGCAGCTAATTAAGAAAAAAAATCACCAGTCATTGTGGTTCATGCCTGTAATCCTAGCACTTGGGAGGCTGGGGATAGTCTGGGCTATTTAGTAAATTCCAGAGTTAGCCTGGGCTAGAGTGAGGTCTTGTCTCAACAGCTACCTTGCCTCATTAACATCTTTCTTATATTCATATAATAACAGGTTAGAAGCTCTAAGAAAACAAATCAAACAATCCCATCCACATTAGCAAAACTGACCTAAATTCGGCCTATCAATACTTTCCTTTCTACAAGCTAAAAGTACATTCATGTACTTAGATGTATTATCATGGAAGTACAACACTCAGATTTCCCTTTAAGTGAGACCCTAAGCAAGGAGATTGCTAGCTGATAGTTTCTGGATACAGCCCTCGGGTGTCTGCTGCTATTCCTGCCCTAGTCATTCTTCCACTGGACAGCTACTAGCCAGCCCTGAGCATTGCAGTGAATTAGGGTTTGTGCACATTTGTGTGACCCTAGACTATTCTAGAGGCAATATTTGCATTGAGGGTCATAGCAGGCTGCCCAGGACATTCTGAATTTACTTTTGTCTAATCTGCTTCCGTTCTTTTGCTTCCTTCCTACATATCGAGACCATGCTTAGTCCTGCTCCTAACCCTTTAATCTTTCACTAGTGCTGCCCCAATATATTTCTTGCTCTTCTAAGCCCGTTTTGGACCTGCTTACAGGAAAACTAAACTAATCCATTCGCTATTGGAAGTGGTCTAAGAAACTGGGCAGTGAGAAGGGATCTGAGGCCTGGCTCACTCATTACTGTATTCATCCGTGCTGTGGTTTATGCTAGGTCCTAAGGTTCTTTTTTGTTTGGAGATGGGATCTCATGTAGCCTAGGCTGGCTCTAAACCCACTGTGTACTTGAGAATGACTATGAACTACATGATCCTCCTGGCTCTAATTCTCTGGGACATATGCAGTTTTAGGAGGTGCTGAGGCAAGCACTGGGTGAGCAGTGCTAGCCCAGCCCCAAAGGTTCTGACAGCGTTCCACTGTGAGTGAGAGTGACTAATGGAGGGAAAGCACCCCTGACCTCACCCTTTTTGGGGAGTATTCCATTATGACAGCTTCACTTTAAACTCTGTTTTCGAGCAGAGAACTATAGGACCATTCTTCCTTCTCCCTGATGCTCTTCTGAGGACATAAAAGCCTATCTTGCAAGTGTAGGCGGAGGGGAGGAGAAGGTCATGACTGGACTTTAGAGTTATATTTAGCTTAAAAGAGAAGGCTGTTCATTCCACTCCTTTTAGGACTTCCTATCATTTTCTCAATAAGTATTCTTTCACTTGAGCCATTCAGATTCTCATGATTTCCTAAATGAGTCATGTTACTTCAGGCCTTAACTGGGCAAGCATGGCATGGCCCTGAGAATTCTCCAATTTCTCACTTAGAGGTCTCCTTTTAGCCATTAATAGGTCCCTCGGAGAGCCTGTCTCTGACTCCTCTTGTATGTGCAATCCCTCTGTACTCTGGGGTTCCTTGGGTGTTTCTTTTGTTACGATGGTTACTGCATCCATTGCTCTACTGCTCGACTTGGTATCTCTTGGAGGATGGTGGACCAGGTTTTCTGCAACACCGGCATACAGCAGGAACACTATTTTCAAAACTGAAGAACTCTCAGCCATGGACGCGATCAAAATTGTACTTAAAACTATTTATAGTTGAGATCTACTAATTTTACTTTGACTGGTCTCAAAGAAGTGAGCCTGTCTGTGATGCCTTATAAACTTGGCCCTTTCCAGACTGAGGTTTTTGCGACTGACTGACACAAATACTTATTTGAATAACTTTTTTAAAAACTTGAGATTTTTCATTGTTATTAAAAGATAATTCATATATGTTTTATTCATGTAAAGTATAAATATAAATGGTTTATTTAGAGTTGTGTGATCATCACCACACTACTCTGTTCCTTTCTAATGTTGAATAATATTCCACTGTATGGATACATTATGTTTTATATATTGACCATGGACAGACATTGGGTTGCTTTCACTTTTGCAATTATGATTAATGCAGTTATGAACACATACACACAGACACAGACACACACAGACACACACAGACACACACAGACACACACAGACACACACACACACACAGAGAAATATGCCAAATATGAATTTTCAAACAATGTAACATTCATGCTATGATTATTATCTCATAATTAAAGAAGTCAGATTCACAACAAATTTAAAGCTCTAGTCATTTTCAAACCACCTTGTCTTTTGTTTTGAACATGTGTGTCAGAAGAGGATCCAAGCCTGTGCTGGGATGGAGCTATGGTGCTTGCCTGGCATATGCAATACCCTAAGACCGATTTCAAACACTAGGAGGTGGTGGGGATAGGGAGAAGATAATTTCAATACATACATCTGACAAAGTACTCATGCACAGAATAAAGAAATATAAGTTAAGAAATGAAAAACAGAAAACATTCAGAGAAGTACTTCACCAAAGAGCAGATCCACGAGTCTAGTGACATGAACAAGTGCTACTTTGCTGAACACGAAGACACAATGCCTGTAAACCTAGCACTCTGGAAGCTGAGGCAAGGAGATGGCTAGGGGTCCCCCTACCCCTGCTACCTGGATTGCATGGAGAAACCTTGCATAGAGAACAAAATGAACAGAGGAGCCATTTTTATTAGCAATCAGTGAAATGCAAATAAGACACACAATGTAACAAACAGAGATGCATCAGAAAGGTTAGGTGAGAAGAAAACCAAGTGCTGGTGAGGACCTGGAGCAGCTACAATCCATAAACAATGTCAGCAGAACAGACTGGGCACAACCACTGTGCAAAGCTGTTTGACAGCATCTCTTAAGCAGGACACTTTGACCTAGGTTTATACCCATGAGAAGGCAGCCACACGTTCCTCAAGATGTATGAGAATGAAGAGTACTGCAAATTGAAACTAGTAGCAAAAACTTAAGAGACTACACAGATCTTCAATATTTGTAAAACCAGACTGTGGCAGATACACAAAGCAGTGATAACAGCAACGACTTACATACACTCACGTACAACACATGTGCCATCGTGGCCCGATCTCACAGGGTAATGCTAACTGAAAGAGCCAGACCACAAACAACAGAAAGAGAGAGAGAGAGAGAGAGAGAGAGAGAGAGAGAGAGAGAGA